ACACACACTTCAATCAATCAATCACTGAATCAAACCATCAATCAATAGATAGATTGATTGATTGACTGGTTGATTGATAGATTGAGATGGTAAAAGTAGGACGACAGACGGTCGTCCTTCGACGTCCTGAGGAGTCGGTAATAGTTAGCCGAAACAGTTTGGAATGATCTTTTTTTTTTTTTTTTTTTTTTTCCGAATCTCACACACACACACACACACACACACACACACACACACACACACACACACACACACACACACACACACACACACACACACACACACACACAACCACACACACAGATATACACACACTTCAATCAATCAATCGATCAATCACTGAATCAAACCATCAATAAATTGATTGATTGATTGATTGATTGATTGATTGATTGACTGATTGATTGACGGATTGATTGATAGATTGAGACGGTGAAAGTAGGACGACAGACTGTCGTGTGATACGCAACCTCACGCCCCCTCGCAGCTTCCCGTACGGGGTCGCCGATCAGAGTTCTAGGAGGGGCGTCGCCGAGGATTTTTGGCCGTAAGGGTTGAGTCTCCAGGACGGAACGGGAGGCTCTCGTTTCTTGGCCGAGGTTTTTCTCGGAGTCGAACTGTCGTCGCAAAGTCCCGCGGGGGTCGGATTACTCCGAAACGATAAAATCAGAAGGGTTTCAGTGAAAATGAATTGTCGTCGTGCATCGGGACGGGAAAAGGCATCAAGGGGAGGAGGTCATAGCGGCAGACGATAACAACTCCGGCCGTCATGGGTTCTGGGGATAGATGGTGGGTTCGAAGCCTTCAGGCCTCGTCATCGGCCTCACGAAGTGGCCGAACCCTCGGGTCTTTTGCTGTAGAGGTGGTTGGTTCGAGGCCTTCAAGCCTCGGCGTCGGACTCATAGAGCCAACGCGAAAGTATCATGGAGGATAAAGCGGCGGGAGGACTCGCCGGCATCTGAATTCGAAATTGCACGGGCAGCGCCCCCGCACTACGGGAATGCTCGGGGAAACGTGTCGCTCCCTCGTAACCCAGGACCAGCCGTCGCCACGAACACGAGTCCCCCTGGTGACACCAGCGACAATCAAACTGACGTCGCCACGCTGCGTGAGCGGCCGACCAGGGCAACACCGTTAAACCCGTATAAGGCAATATCAGAGTCGAGGAATCAAAGCGATCAATCAACACAAACCCGTTCCCCCTTATCTCACAAGCCCGAGGCGGGTCTTGCCAACACACTTGCTCCGTCCGCATCGCAGTAGACGCTGTCGTCATCTGTGATGGGGAAGGTCGGTAGCAAAATGAGACGATCGAAGGTACGTGATGAACACGGGTAAGATCCCTCGTTCCCGGTCATTCGAACCAACACCGAATCCATACAACAATCGTCGCAACTCTTCTCTCTCGAAAGTGGGTGCGTAGGGGGAGGATGACGAAATCTAAGCTTTCTCCTTTTGGCGGGGGCGTCGACCGTCCGCGCGGACGTAGGCGGTTGACGTCACCGGTACGGGGACGAGAAGCTCTAAAAGGCGATGACTGTTAGTTCAAAAGGAAGGCGATCGAAAAGGGAGAGAGAGAGTTACGCCAAGCCCGCGCGAGAGCGCAGGAAAGGTCACGGAGGGGAGGGGAACAACCGGATCAACACACTCATACTCCTAAGCAGACGGTCCCCCAGTTCAGTTTCCCCATCCCCGCCCGGACGAGTACATACACACATACATGCATGCAATCAACAACCCTTGACAGGACATCTAATCATCCATGGACCTTCGACGTCACTCATGCGCATAACCAGCTCCCATCACTCGGGGCTTCACACACACGACATGCATAGACAAAGCAACAATGGAGATAAAAGCGAGTCCTTCTTATACACAAAAATTTCAATTAACTGTTGCCCCCAGGCGCAGCCTTCAAAACTTCCCAAGACCACCGACCACCATAGCCACAAGGCCCTGCCACGACCGACGTCCAATCCCCACCACTGCTCAGTCCCTTCGACTGCTTCGCCCCGAGACTACCGCGGGGTCCACCCCACGTCGTCACTCCGCCCGTCCTTGGGCTCGTCGAGCCTGTTCGGCGCCGTGGACTCTCGTGCATAGCTCGCGCAGCATTGCAGCCGAGATCAAAGAGAGGGAGAGGAGAGGGTTGCGCAAATTTATAGCGCGGGAGGCGGCGGGTTAACAGCGCGAGGTGCGAGCAGCGCAGGGTGTAGATGAGCAGGACAGGAGAGAGAGGTGGGGAGTTAGAGGGTTCGATCCGCGGTATTGCATGGCTACGTGATTGGGGTGTTCGTCCAAGTGGTGCGCGATTTCCCACTTTCCACATTGATCCGAGCATCCCAACTACGCAGCCAATCACTTCGCGGAGGAAAACGGGGTAAGGATCAAGGTGGGCGTAGGGGAAGACGAAGAGTCCTGCATGGGGAAAATGCGCGCAGCAAGAAGGGAAGATGGCGCGAGGATGCAAAGCAAGAAACGGGGATGCGAGACGAGCGAAGAAACCGGAGCTTGGGCGCGCGCGCAAAAATTCAAAAAGTCCCAACCGCACCCGTTTCTTGGTTTTCATACCGAGGCCGCTATTCGCCCGCGGGAGTTATTAACCAAACAAAATGAAAAAGTCGTTTCAAAAAGAAAACAAAAGCAAAAAGAAAGAAAAATCCCTTTCTATCCGCGTCCGTACTTCGGGGCTTCCGCGGGATTTTTCCTCAGGGATACGGCAAGCCGCGCGGTACGGATCTGAGCTTATCACAGTCGTCCTTCAACCAGGACGACAGACTGTCGTCCTTGAACCTCATGAGGAGTCGGTGAAAGTTCGACGAAACAGTTCGGAATGATTGAATTTTTTTTATTTTTTATTCTTTTAGCGAATATGACGACACACACACACACACACACACACACACACACACACACACACACACACACACACCAGGAGGGATGCGCTGCCACGTGATCGCTGTCGTGTCCCCCGTGTACGTGTGCAAGGAGGGATCTTTCGTTCCGCCCCCCCCCCCCCCCCCCCCCCCCGCCCCCCATTCATCTGTGTGTCCGATCCCTCCTCTTCCCCCGACATGTGCGGTGCATGATGGGATGTCAGGTCAGTCGATGTCATCTGAGATGTGTGGGTGTGTGCGTGCGTGTGGGTGTGTGTATGTGGTGTGTGCAGTCGTCGTTAGTAGGTGGTGTCATTTTTGGCGATTTTATCACCGAACTGCCATGAACCCCTCACCTTTCACGTTTTTATGGTATGTTCATTTTTTACTGCATGCATGTTCTTAAGGGAAAATCTGTATTCAGTTTGAACGTATTTCTTTCAGTCACGAAAAAGTTGGCAAAAACACGGAAATTGGGAAAAGTTTTGGCGAACTCCAAAAGCTACTTTGACTAGGGTTTTACAATGCTCTTCAGTTCGTTTTTTTTTGTTTTTTCCGGTTATTTTTTGCCAGGTAGTTCCTTTTCGTGTATGTGTTATAAACTTGCATAGGGGCAGGTCGTTTTTTTTTTTTTTCCCGATGTCATTCCGTGTGCGCATGTTCCCGACTGTCGTTGAATTGTAAGTCTTCCATTAACCATGTGTGTGTGTGTG